ACCCCCCTTTTTTTTCCTGTATTTTTAGATATACCCTAGGGTGTTTTGTCCGGGAGAATACGGTATGTTGACGCTGACTTAAATGCTGATGATTCTGTGTGCTCGCGTGTTCATAGATTAGCCTGCTTGCCTCCTGCTAGTGTAGCCTTGTGCCTGTCTAGCTTAGGTACTTGTGTTGCTGCTCTAGGTGCTTGTGTAGCGACTGGGTCAGGTGACCCGCCGGCTGAGGCCTCTCTATCGTTCACGCTGGACTCGGGCACGTCTCAGTGCTTCTTCCGCGACCACAAGACCCTTACACCACTCCTCACACCTGTGTCGGTGGCTCTGGCTAATCCTACCTCTGGACCAGCAGTTGCGCGCTCCACCACCCTCCCGTGCTCTGTGGTCCCCTCTGATGTCCTGCGCGGCCTCCACATCCCCTCGTTCACTCGGAACTTGGTGGGTGTTGGATACCTCCAGGACAGGGGGATCACGGTTACCTTCGTGGGGGGTGGGCGGACTGCAGTCTGTACAGACGCTACCTCAGGTGCTGTTCTGGCAACGTTCACCAGGGAGCCCTGCTCCGGTCTCTACGTTCTCCACACCGAGTGCTCCCCGGTCGCGTCCTCCCCTCAGGTCGTTGCGTCCCCTCCAGCCCAGGTCCCCAGTCCAGTTGCTGTGTCTAGCCAGGTAGTAGTGTCCGGTCCGGTCGTTGTGCCCAGTCCAATCGCCGCGTCTTGCTCCTGTCGCTCTCTCACCCACCGCACCGTCCTGTGGCACCACCGCCTTGGCCACCCGTCGCTCCCTTGCCAACGTGGCATGCTCAGTAAGGGACTTGTCTCAGGTCTCCCACGCACCTTCCCGTCGCTCCCTCTCTCGCTTGCCCCTCCTTGCTCACCGTGCGTCGCCGGTCGCTTACGCGCCACTCCCCACTCCTCCTCACTTCGTCCGGCCACCGCTCCCTTCGAGACTCTCCACTTGGACGTCTCGGGCCCTGCCCCGACGCAGGGGTCTGGGAGGGAGCGTTACTTTCTGGTGGTCGTTGACGACTTCTCCAGGTACACCACAGTGTTCCCTCTTGCGAAGAAGTCCGAGGTGACTGCTACGCTGATCTGGTGGCTTCTAGCCACTGTTGGCACTCGGCGGATTCTGCGGCGAACAGGGCATCACCCAGTCTTGGACGCTGCTAGAGTCCCCACAGCAGAATGGGGTTGCTGAGCGCCGCATAGACTTGGTCATGGACATCGCCCGCACGTCCATGATCCATGCCCGTGCGCCCCATTTTCCTGGCCCCACGCGGTTCGCTACGCCGCACACCAGCTGAACCTCCAGCCGCGTGTCTCGCGGCCCGAGGTTTCACCGACCAGTCTTTGGACTGGTTCCCCTGGTGTCAGGTCGGCCTTTCGAGTCTGGGGCTGCCTTGCACTTGTTCGCGACACCTCCGCGGACAAGCTCTTGGCACGCGCCGTCCCCTGTGTCTTCCTTGGTTTCCCACTGGACTCTGCCGACTTGTCCTTTTACCACCCTCCCCTCCACCAGTTCCTAGACTCCCGTGACGTGCGGTTTGACAAGTCCGTGTCCTACTACACCCGGTACCCCTGTCGAGGTCTCCCGGTACCCCCTCCCCCTCTTTTCCTCGCACCCTCTCCTCCTGCTCCCGCTCCTCCGGTACCCCCGCCCCCCCTGGTCCTGCCCCGTCTGGTGTGTCCCACGTTACCCCTCTACCCTCGGTCGCGCGTCAGGTAGCGTCTCCCTCCCCACAGTCCTCCTCACAGTCCCCTCAGCAGCCTTTGGCACTTCCGCGACAGGTTACTGTGGACTCGGTTGGTGTTGGGGCTGGAGGTGCAGCCACTGGCGGTGCTAGGTCTGGGGGCACTCGGTCGCGGGGTGCTGGCGCAGGTGGCGCTAGCTCTTGGGGTGCTGGAGCTGGAGGTGCTGGCGCAGGTGGCGCTAGCTCTAGGGGTGCTGGAGCTGGAGGTGCTGGCGCAGGCGGCGCTAGCTCTGGGGGTGCTGGAGCTGGAGGTGCTGGCACTGGTGGTGCTAATTCTGGGGGTGCTGGAGTTGGAGGTCCTGGCACTGGAGGTGCTGGTTCTGGGGGTGTTGAGTCTGAGGAGTCTGACCCTGGTTCTGTGGAGTCCACTCCGCCTCCCCACCGCCACGACACACGACTCCAGACCGCCCGCCGACATAAGCGTGAGGAGTAGGAGCAGTTGGAGAGGGAGCGGCAGGAGCTGCAGGTGCTGGACCTTCTGGAGCAGCAGCGGCAGCAGCAGCAGCAGCAGCAGCAGCCGCCACCGCAGCTTCCTCTGGAGCCGCAGTTGTTCCCACCAGTGAGTGGCCTGCGGGCCCTTGGCTTTTCCTCCTCTCCTCCTGTCCACTCCCAGTCTCCTCCTGTGTTTGTTCCTCCGTTGCCTCCTCCTGACGACCGTCCGGCGGTCTGGTCTTCTCCTCCTCCCCAGTCTCCTCCTCCTTCGGTCCGTCGCGTCTTGGTCACTCATTGTCCTCCGCGTGCTCGTCACTCGTCTCCTATTACTGACCTCCACACTGCCCTCCTTTGTACGTCTCGTCGTCGTTCTCCTTCTCCTGTGTCCGTTCTCCCGTCTCCTCCTCCGTCCTCTCTCCCAACCCTCCCCACTCCTATCACTGACTACTACCGCACTGTTCGTCCTGTTGCCGCACGTGTCCTCGCCACTCTTGTCACCGACTCTCGTTTCCCTCAGTCGTCGGTCTCTGCTCTCACTGCCGCTGTCGCTGAGTTTGCTACCGCCAGCCGCCTTGACTACGCCACCCGTGTGGTGCCAGCTCCTCCCTGCCATCCTATGTCCGTCGGGGGTGAGTTTGCCCTTGGCTGTGACGTCCTAGAGGACAGAGAGTCTGAGCTGGAGTACTGGGCAGCCGCTTCTCCCTCTGTGTGTGCCATGCTGCTCTCCCCTGAGGGAGACCCCGACGCCCTTGACATACCGACTCCTCGCACTTACCGCGAGGCAGTGTCAGGGGCGTGGGCCTCTCAGTGGAAAGCGGCTATGGACTCAGAGTTGGCGTCTTAGAGATCCACAGGCACCTACGTCGGCGCAGTTCCCCCTCCCAGGGCGAACATAGTCGATGGCATGTGGCTCTTCAAGGTGAAGCGGCCGCCTGGAGCACCGCCGGTGTTCAAGGCGCGCTACATGGCTAGGGGCTTCAGTCAGCGTGAGGAAGTTGACTTCTTCCAGACCTTCGCCCCGACCCCGAAGATGACTACTCTTCGGGTGTTACTCCACATAGCAGCGCAGCGAGACTACGAGCTGCACTTCCTCGACTTCTCCACTGCGTTCCTCCAGGGCCGACTGCACGAGGAGATCTGGCTGCGCCGTCCTCCTGGCTTCACTGACACCTTCCCACCTGGGACCCAGTGGAGCCTGAGGCGACCAATCTACGGTCTCCGCCAGTCGCCCCGTGAGTGGCACGACACTCTTCGCTCCACACTTCGTGACCTTGGGTTCAGCCCGTCCTCCGCCGACCCGTCGCTGTTTGTTCGAGCGGGTTATACTCCTGTCTTTGTTCTTGTCTACGTCGACGACTTGGTCTTTGCTACAGCAGACAGGGCAGCCCTGGCTCAGGTGAAGTTCGAAGTGCAGAAGAGACACAATGCACTGACCTGGGTGAGCTGCAGCGTTACCTTGGCTTGCAGATCACCCGGGACAGAGCCGCTCGCACCATCACACTGACGCAGTCACACATAGTGCAGCAGGTTCTTCGGCGGTTCGACTTCCAGTTCTCCACCACACAGCCCACTCCTCTTGCTGTTGACCACAGACTCACTGGCCCCTTTCCCGACGAGCCTTTTGAGTCCAGTGGTCCCTGCGCAGAGCTGGTGGGCTGCCTCATGTACCTGATGACTTGTACTCGGCCGGACCTCGCCTTTTCCCTCAGCGTCCTCTCTCGCTTTGTTGCGACTGGGAGACACCGTCCTGTCCACTGGACAGCTGCTGTGAGGGTGGCGAAGTACCTCGCGACTACATCAGGCATGGGGCTTGTGCTTGGAGGGACTCAGCCAGTGGCGTTGACTGGTCACTGCGACTCTTCCTACGCTGACGACGTGAAGACTCAGCGTTCGACTCAGGGATACTGCTTCAGTCTGGGAGCTGGTGCTGTGTCGTGGAGGTGTACTCGATCGTCGTCTGTGGCTACTTCTAGTGCATAGGCAGAGATCTACGCTGGTGCCATGGTGGCACAGGAGCTTCGTTGGTTGACCTTCTTGCTCACCGAGCTTGGTGAGCGGCCTCGCTCTGCACCGACCTTGTACGCTAACAATAAGGCCATGATCCTCCTATGTCGAGAGCCTCGACAGGAGAGCAGAGTGAAGCATATTGACGTGAGGTACTTCCTTCTGCGAGAGCTGGAGCGATGCGGCCAGGCACGCCGGGACTTTGTGGCCTCAGAGGCCAACACTGCAGACGTCTTCATTAAGGCCTTGGCGCTTGGTGATCACCACAGGTTCTGTGTGCAGTTGGGGCTTGTTGAGGTAGGCCCCCGGTTGCTGTAGTCTTGTTGCTTGCTCTGCTTGATGTGTTTTCCTATTTATATCCTAGTGAACTCTTGAACTGGCCTTGTGGCCGCTTGCTTGTGCTCGGAATGTGTGTGGTGTCCTTGAGATCCACCCTGAGCTTGTCTTGCCTTGACTGGTCTTGTGACCGTTTTTTTTCACCTTGCTTGCCCTGGTGTCCCTCACTTAGCCTATGGGGGTGTGTCAAATGTTAATGTTATTATAGGCTGCAGTGAGGCACTCCCTAGAGGGTACAACATTTGTAGGACTCCTATTTGTATGCTTGCAAACCCTAATCCCAATCATTGACTCCCAAGTTCCCAACACAGTGTTGGCTCTCTAAGAACACTTCATGGGCACTTCAACGACACTTCAAGAGCACTTCCAGAGGCGCTTCAAAGGCGCTTCAGGGGTACCCAATGCGCTTCAGGGGTACCCAATGCGCTTCAGGGGTACCCAATGCGCTTCAGGGGCACTCAAAGGGCTTCAGGGGCACTCAAAGGGCTTCAGGGGCACTCAAAGGGTTCTGCAGCGGATCCCAGCACACCAGTGGCACTCCAGAGGCTCTGCAGCAGACCAGGCAAGAATCAACCATCAGTGTACAACTCCATCCATAGAATTACACCATGGAGAGGGGAGAGCAGGAGGAGCGGGGGGAGCAGGACGAGTGGGAGAGGGCGGAAAGGAGAGGGAGGAGGGGGGAAAGGAGCAGAAGTGGGCAGAAAGGAGAGGAAGAGGGCTGAAATGAGAGGGAGAGAGGAACGGAAGACGGGGTACAAGGGAGAAAGCAGGCAAACAGGGAGATGGAGGTAAGGGGCAGAGGGCGGCAATGTGGGAAGGAAAGAGAGAAAGCAGGGGGCGGAGAGTGGGTGAGGGGATACACTTAAAAAGCGAGGGCTTACAGAGGGGAGGAGAGGTTACTCGCTACTGCGGCGAGCAATGACCGTAGACGCCACGGTAGCCCTGGGCGCACTGGCATGCCACCCCACTAAAGGCGACGTTCTTGGGGAGGCTATTGGGGAGGCTTACACGCCACGGTACTTGCCCAGGGCGCACAGCAAGACGAAAGGCTATTGGGGAGACTTACAAGTGAGAGGCAGGCTACTTGGGCTTGCACTGGCCGTAGACGTCATGGTAGCCCTGGGCGCACTGGCAGCCCACCTCCTGGCTGTCCTTTGTCTTGATGCACGTGGAGTTCTTCGGACACTTGGCCTTCCGACAGATGTTGTCTGCCGCACAGAGGGGCATGGGATGAGAGGCATGGGGGGAGAAGTATGGGGTGAGAGGCGTCAGGGAGAGGCCTTGGGGGGGAAAGAGCACATGAGTGGCAGCAGAAAGTGCATGTATGGCAGAAAGTGCATGTATGGCTGAAAGTGCATGTATGGCTGAAAGTGCATGTATGGCAGAAAGTGCATGTATGGCTGAAAGTGCATGTATGGCTGAAAGTGCATGTATGGCTGAAAGTGCATGTATGGCTGAAAGTGCATGTATGGCTGAAAGTGCATGTATGGCTGAAAGTGCATGTATGGCTGAAAGTGCATGTATGGCAGAAAGTGAACCAGGGCTCAGATAACAGCAGCAGCAGCATGGTTGCAGCAGCAGCATGGTTGAAGCAGGGGACGCACCGAGAACGCAGCGGATGGACTTCACTGATGCGCCCATCTTGAACGTACTGCACAGGAAGGGGGGCGCATGGCATGGGGAACGATTGCGACGGAATTGAGGAACGGATGGGGGGAAAGCAAGGGTGCGTGGGGAAGCGGCATGCGACTAAGACGTGCAGAGGCGAGCAAAGGAGAAACAAAGGAGTGCACGTCAGAATAAATAAATGCATCCTCCGGACTACTCACCCCCGGAGTGCTCACCTCATGTATCCCGTGTTATTATCCTCACCTCATGTACCCCGGGAGTCCTCACCTCATGTACCGCGTGTTTTCCTATTTTGCCGCGGGTGCCCCCGAGCAGTCGGGCGACGCGAACAGCTGCACCGCGTTGCACATAGTGCGCTCCGAAAACACGTCCCACCACACCAGCACATCCGCCTTTCCACCCGCGATTTCAGGCGCGGTCACGCAACGGTTTTGGTCGAAGTAGACAGGCTCGGGTTGAGCGAGCGAGCCGGCGAGCACCACCGTTCCCACTCGCACCTCCGCAGGAACCACGTCGGAGGCAGCAGCGGCATTTGCTCCCATCGCTGCGAGGATGGCGGACGGAGAAGGGCGAAGACAGAACGAGAAGGGCAGTGTCAGAACGGGAAGCGCAAAGGTTAGAGCGGGAAGTGCAAAACTCAGCCACGGATGGCTCGCGAAAGTGTACGAATGCTTCGCGAAAGTGTACGGATGGCTCGCGAAAGTGTACGGATGGCTCGCGAAAGTGTACGGATGGCTCCCGTAAGTGTACGGAATGAGCGTGACGTGGGGACTGAATCGCGGATCCTGTTTACTCCTCCACACGAGCATCGGTGACGCATTCCGTGGCGCTGAGACGCTGAGGACTGGATCGTGCATGCCCTGAACTCCACACGAGCAGAATCATGCGGAGGAGGCGTAAACGCCTGCGGGCGTACACGAGAAAGGTTGGAAGGGAGAGTGGAAGGCTGAGAAGTACCGAGGAGGATGGCGACGACAACCCACGCGGCTGCTGCGGCCTTGGAATGTCCCATCTGAGTCATGCTGACGTGGACTGAAAGTGGTCGCTATAACACCTCGCTACCCACTGGGTCAAAACGAGGGTGTTATTTGGCGCAGCGGAATGCCCATAACACTTAGCCCACAGGCGTTACACTCGTCCCCCCCTGGTGTCAACGTCCTCGTTGACGAACTTCAGGGAGTCGGCCCCCGCAGGGACCTGTTCGCTGTGCTCCAAGCAGCGACTTCGCTGGTGGACCAGGCCAGCGGAGGATCGTTCGCTGGGTTCAATCAGGTTACCACATTCAAGTTCTCGCCACATGCAGAAAATATGGATCAGCCAGGAATTTGAACCCTAGGCTCTGATTCCAGTATAACACCTCGCTACCCACTGAGTCAAAACGAGGGTGTAATTTGGCGCAGAGGAATGCCCATAACACTTAGCCCACAGGCGTTACAGTCGCACAGCTGATTGGTGCTCGGGTCGGAAGTGGATTATAGTTCGGTAGCGACCGGTGAGTAGGTTGAGAAGATTTGAACGAGAATGAAAATGACTATGAACGAAGTGAGTACAAATAGGAAACCCTAATTGGGTTGTACCCCCTATGGGATACCCCACTATAGCCTACACAAATAAGTAAGCTATAATGTTCTGACACACCCCCATAGGCAAAGTCGGGGAGAACAAGGGGTCACAAGACCAGTCAAGCAAAGCAAAGCAAAGCTCAGGGTGGATCACAAAGTCACCACACATTCCGAGCACAAGTTCAAAGGCCACAAGGCCAGTTCACATGCAAGATCATATATAGAGATATACAAGAGTCAAGCAAGCAAGAGCAAGAGTATATATAGGTGAAGGTACACGGAAAGTCAAGAAGTGAGCAAATGAGGCAAGACAGGCACAAGACCCAGCTGCGTGCAGCAACGCTGATGATCACAAGGCGCAAGTGCCTTGGTGAACACATCAGCAGTGTTGGCCTCAGAGGCCACGTACGCAAGTCGCAACTGTCCACGCTGCTGTAGCTCACGAGCAAGAAAGTAGCGGAGAGCAATGTGCTTTGTCCTGTGCTCCAGTCGCTGCTCTCGACACAAGGCCAGCATGGCCTTGTTGTCTACGTACAGGACTGGAGGAGAACGAGGCGGCTCTCCAAGGTCGGTCAGCAGGTAGGTGAGCCAGCGTAACTCCTGTGCAGCCATAGCCCCGGCGTAGATCTCAGCCTCACAACTGGAGCCGAGAACAGAAGACGAGCGGGTAGCCCGCCACGAAACAGAGCCGGAACCAAGGCCGAAGGTGTAACCCTGTGACGACCGCTGCGTAGCCAGGTCGTCAACCCAAGAAGCGTCCGCGTGCCCAGTGAGGACCACTGGACTCCGCCCTCCAAGCACTAGCCCCATGCCCGACGTACTGCACAAGTAGCGCAACACCCTCTTCGCTGCAGCCATGTGCTCTGGTCGGTGTCTCCCAGGAGCAACATAGCGTGCGAGAATGCTAAGAGGGTATGCAAGGTCAGGTCGTGTGCAGGTCATCAGGTACATGAGGCAGCCAACAAGCTCTGCATACGGGCCACTCGACTCTACGGACTCATCCGAAGGCAGAGCTGAGAGCGAGTGGCGAGTAGGCAGAGGAGTGGTCTGAGGCGAAGAGTACGTGAAGCCGAAGCGCTGAAGGACCTGCTGCACCATGTGTGACTGAGTCAGGGTAATGGTGCGGCGTGCTCTGTCCCGAGTGATCTCCAAGCCAAGGTAGCTGCGCAGTTCACCCAGGTCAGTGCACGTGTGTCTCTTCTGCAGCTCGGACTTCACGTAGGCGAGTCCAGCAGTGTCAGCTGTGGCAAAGACCAAGTCGTCGACGTACACGAGGATGTAGAACGGCGGCAGAGAGGTGTCGGTGCGCAGAAACAGCGACGGGTCGGCAGTAGAAGGAGCAAACCCGAGTGCCGCCAGCGTAGTCCTCAGTGTGTCGTGCCACTCACGTGGCGCCTGGCGGAGACCGTAGACTGGACGCCGGAGACTCCACTGGGTACTAGGAGGGAAAGACCCAGTGAAGCCAGGTGGGCGACGCAGCCAGATCTCCTCGTGCAGGCTGCCCTGCAAGAAAGCAGTGCTGAAGTCGAGAGAGTGCAGCTCGTAGTCACGGTGAGCAGCAACGTGCAGCAGTACCCGTAGAGTGGTCATCTTCGGGGTGGGGGAGAAGGTTTGAAAGTAGTCAACCCCCTGCCGCTGACTGAAGCCACGAGCCACGTAACGCGCCTTGAAGACAGGCGGAGAACCCGGTGGCCGCTTCACCCTGAAGATCCACATGCCACTGACTATGTTCGCCCCAGGAGGGGGAACAGCGTCAACGTAGGTGCCTGTGGACTTCCAGGAAGCCATCTCTGCATCCATAGCTGCCTGCCACTGAGAGGAGTAGGGACCCTCTATCGCCTCCGCGTAAGAGCGCGGAGTCGGGATGTCAAGTGCATCCGGGTCTCCCTCAGGGGCTAGCAGTACAGACGCGAGATGAGGTGAAGCGGCGGTCAGACACTGGAACTCCTCCTGCCTGTCCTCAAGGACGTCCGTGCCAAGGGCACACTCACCCCCGACGGACGGAGGACAGGCAGACTCAGACTCAGCGACAAGACTAGCAGCGTAGTCTAGACGACAGCACGCAGCAAAGTCGACGAGCTCAGTGACAAGGGCAGACGCAGCCGAAGACTCGAAAGAAGGGTCGATGACAGCAGTAGCAAGGAGACGCGTGACAATAGGACTGGCAGCACGAAGAGAGTCCGACTCCGGGTCGGCAAGAGCAGGAAGAGAGGAAGCAGGAGGAGAAGGCAAAGGGGCACGTAGAGGAGCAGTGGACGGACGCAGAGACATCCGGTGCGTGCCAGGGACAAGAGGAGGACGCTGACGCGAACCGCGACCACTAGTGTGCGCAGTACGAACAGGCGACGCAGGACGAGACGCAGGCTCACGACGCTCAGTAAGACCTCCAGTCGGACCAGCGTAGGGAGGAGCAGGCAAAGGGGAGGTAGGCTGTAGCTGTGCCACCTCCGCCTCCGCCTCCACCGCCGCCACCTCCGCCACCTCCGCTACCACCGCCACCGCCGCCGCCACCCCCGCCTCCACTGCCGCCACTAGCACCCCCACCCCCGCTACCACCTCCACCGCCACCCCCACTCCCTCCGCCGCCTCCACCTCCACCTCCACCGCCCCCACTGGCCCCACCTGCTCCCTTGCCCCCCTTGCCCTTGCCAGAGCGGCGTCTCCCGCTAGGGGCAGACGCCGCACCGACCGACTCAAGACCAACGAGGTCGGCCGCAGAGGCAGAGGCGACAGAGGGCAAGAGAGGGGAAGCAGAACACCCCTCAAAGATGGGGGCGCGGGGGTCACCTCGAGAGGCTCCTACAGCGACTATGCTCTTCTCTGCTGCAAGGAGGGCCTTCTCAAGGCTGTCGACTGTGAGGGTGGTGGGACAGACCGCGAGGAAGTGGTCCCGGACTACACGAAGGGAGTCAGGGAGGCAAGTGACTAAGAAGTAGAGAGTGATGTACATGGGGGGGGGGTTCTTGGCGCAGAAGTCAGCAGGAAGCGCAGCGCGGTAGCGAGTGTCACTAGTGCGGAGGTGCGTGATGAGATCAGCGACAGTGGTAAAGGCGGCAAGGTCAGGGAAGAGGAAGGGGAGCATGAGGCGGCTCAGTGCAGCAGTGGCAGGGGAGGAGTAGCGCGCAACTACAGCGTCGTACAAGGTCTGGGCACTCTTGTACTGGCTAAAGTGCGCGCGCTCAGCGGTAGGCAAGTGGCGACGCACAGCAAGACGTGCAGCAGCATCGCGCGTGGCCCAGTGTGAGCGAACAGTGGCGTCAGCATCAGCAGCAGGGGCAGGGACGGCGCCAGAGGTGAGGTCAAAGAGAGACAGACCGTCCGCCCTATCGCACTGTAAAAACAGCTGCAGGTCGTCGACCCAGACCTCAAAGTCTATGGCTCGACCCTCAGCGTCAAAAGCGAGGACACTAGGGGTGGCCATGACGACAGACTAGCAGTGCAAGCAGTGGTGGGGGGGGACGGGCACGCAGTAGCAGTGGGGCTGTGCTCACCAGACAAGGCAGGTCGGGCGACTCGGCAGTAGAGCGGCTCGGCTGCGGGGCGGCTCGGAGGCTGGGCTGCTCGGCGGCTCGGCGGCTCGGCGGCTCGGCGGCTCGGCTGCTGGGTGGCCCGGCTGTTGGGCGGCTCGGCTGCACCGCGGCTAGGCGGCTCGGCTCCTCCGGTACTCGGTGGCGCGGCGGGCGGCTGCTTGGGTGCACGCTGCAGGGTGGTGCAGTGGGCGGCGGCTCGGGTGGCGCGGCAGAGGAGGAGAGCGGCGGGGCCGCTTAGCAGAGGGCGGCGGGGCCGCGAAGTGCAGGGCGGCGGGGCCGTAAAGGAAGGGCGGCGGGGCCGCTTAGCAGAGGGCGGTGGGGCCGCTAAGGAAGGGCGGCGGGGCCGCTAAGGAGAAGCGGCGGGGCCGCGAAGTGCAGGGCGGCGGGGCCGTTGAAGGAAGGGCGGCGGGGCCGCGAGGTGCAGGGCGGCGGGGCCGTCGAAGCAGGGCGGCGGGGCCGTCGAAGCAGGGCGGCGGGGCCGTCGAAGCAGGGCGGCGGGGCCGTCGAAGCAGGGCGGCGGGGCCGTCGATGCAGGGCGGCGGGGTCGTCGAAGCACGGCGGCGGGGCCGTCGAAGCAGGGCGGCGGGGCCGTCGAAGCTGGGCGGCGGGGCCGTCGAAGCAGGGCGGGGGGGCCGTCGAAGCAGGGCGGCGGGGCCGCTTAGCAGAGGGCGGCGGGGCCGCAAAGGAAGGGCGGCGGGGCCACGAAGTGCAGGGCGGCGGAGCCGCGAAGCGTAGGGCGGCAGGGCCGCAAAGTGGAGGGCGGCGGGGCCGCAAAGGAAGGGCGGCGGGGCCGCGAAGTGCAGGGCGGCAGGGCCGCAAAGCGTAGGGCGGCAGGGCCGCTAGGGGAGAGAAGGCCGCTAGGGCGGCTCGGTAAGTGAATAGCCCGAAGCGCGACTCGGGATGAGTGCGCTTCGGGCAGTAAAAAAAAA